CAGAGCTTCATATGATTATTAAGAGTATTGACTACCTTATTACTACGGTTTATGTAATATCCTGTAAAAAAAAGGTGGATACAAGTTTCCCTATTTGAGTGTTCACCCGGTTTAAAATCGTGGATCTCGGGGAACACACGAATTCATTCGACCAATCAAAAACGTGGAACTAGTTCGAGAGTCTCGTTCAGGTGGCGCGTCGACGCGCCAAAACACAGCTCCAGATTATCACGCGTAGTATTACTATATATACACGACCAATCAAAAACGTGGAACTGCTTCGAGGGCCCTCCGCTAAGGTGGCGCGCCGAAACCAGAGAAAAATTGAGACCACCAAAAACAGGCTCATTGGCAATCTCCCTACTCATCTCTGGTATATATATCAGTGCTAGAGGGACTCTAGCCGAAACAAGTGGAGTATGTTTCGTAGCCCACTTGAAGAGCATTACCTTCGGTCTCCTTTACTCTAGCCTCCATGACTGAAAGCTTATATCGAAACACGCCGTGAGTCTGACTATAACTGTTTGTTATAAAATATCATTTTCCATTACAATATAAACATGGGTGATGCCCAAGAAATTAATATTAAACAAAATATGGATAAAGATACGCGTAAGGAATCAAGTGAGGATGACCATAATTCTGAAATTAAAACACTTATCTCCACAAGAAATAAAACAAAATATAATGCAGTGTTTCAAGGACCTTTACAAAAAAAACGAAAAAATGAATACAATCCTGAAGAGGAGGCGAGGTCAGTTTTAATGTTTAGAAAAATTTAAATAGTTGCTTGTTACTGATTAAATAATGACGTTGATACAAGTTTTCTAACAGGCTGGAAAGGCTAGTTTTTGGAGATGCTAATGATATAATAAGTAACTTATTGGATGAAAAAGAATCAAAAGATTCACAAAACATCTTATTGAAAAATGATGCATTTGAGGATGAGTCTGACAATGGCAGCATTTTATCAGAAGAATCAGGAGATGATGAATGTACAGATGTGAAAAAAGAAGTTGCATGGATAGATGAAGATGATGAACAATATTCGTAAGTTGGTTTATTTTCATATCGGTTTACAATGATTATACATGGGTTATGTATTTTCAGGTTAGATACTGGTTTACGTGCACAGAAACGTAAATTGCCAGAAGGTAGATCAGAAACAAAATTTACTGAATTATTGCAAAATAAATATAAAGAAATTGTTGGAACTCCCAAATGGGCTCAATTAAATAAAGACAATGAAACAAACTCAGATGATTCTGCTGATATTTTAAATGTAAGGATATATTTTAGTATTATGCATGACATTATAAATAATAAAGCATTATAATTATAGCACACTAATCACCTAGCAGTGGTAAAAGTAAAGAAGTTAACCAAGGGAAAGATTGATATAAAACTTCTTACTGATATTAATAAAGAAACTGGAAATGAAGGTCCTCTTGTTACAAGTGTACAGTTTCATCCTAATTCTACAGTTGCATTGGTTGCTGGCTTATCCGGAGTATTATCGATATTTCAGGTAAATGTAATATATTTGTTATTATATTGTATTTGCATTCCTTACATTAAATTACTGTATTTCGTGTTGTAGGTTGATGGCTGTGAAAATAAAAAGTTGCACAGTATGAAATTTTCAAAGTTTCCCATTGACAGAGCAAGATTTACACAAGATGGTTCTGAGATCATAGTAGGCTCCCGAAGACATGCCTTTTGTCATACATATGACTTGATTACTGGAACAACTATAAGAACACCACTGGCACATACAATGACGAATATGAAGGTTTGCAAAACTGTAGGTTGCACTGAATTATGATTATTATAAAACATTACTTTTCATAGAAATTTGAGATTTCGCCCGATGGTAAATTCATTGCTGTATGTGGAAGAATGGGTCAAATACATTTACTATCTTCTCGGAGTAAAGAACTAGTGCATACATGGAAGATGAATGAAAATTGCAATGCTCTTGCCTTTACACCTGATAGCCGACAGCTGTTCAGTCACGGTGGTATGGAATCATCCTGTATATTGAAGAATTATGGGATTTAATTTCATAAACGTAATTATATATATATATATATATATATGTGTTTTTTTTGTGTGAACAAAGATGGTGGCGAAATGTACGTATGGGACATTGATAGACGTATGTGCATACATCGCGCAGTAGACGACGGCTGTCTCTCCGGTTCGGCGATCGCCATCTCACCAAGTGGGCAACTTCTCGCTGCTGGAAGTCGTCAAGGCGTTGTGAATCTCTATGATACTAAAACGCTTTTGCAAAAAAAAGTACCTGTTCCAATGAAAATAATTTTGAATCTGGACACTTCAATTAGTTGTCTAGCATTCAATCCAACTTCGGAAATACTTGCATTCGCGTCCGAGGACAAAGAAAATGCGTTTAAAATGATGCACATTCAATCGACTACAATTTTTTCAAATTTTCCTACATTTAATACAAAAATTTCTAAGCCTTTGGCTCTGGAATTTTCCCCAGGCAGCGGCTATTTGGGAATTTCCAATAATAGAGGTAATGCATTTTTGTGTAGACTTAAACACTACGGAAATTATTAAGTTAAATCTTCTACAGTCAATAAACAATATGAATACAAGTTCGTTGTATAACATTTTTTGTATTTCCAAACTCTATAATGTATGCCAAATACTTCTTGTTTTATGATTTTTGCGTTTAATCAAAAAATTGTAATACTTTCATCACATGATAGGAAATACTGTCCAAAAGCTTAAACGGGTTCATTAAACAATTCTGCATTGTATTCCTTCGTGGTTTTGTTTCGAGTTTCCATTATAAGGAAATCTCGATAATCTTGTGAAGTCGTAATATTATTGAAAAAAGATAATTTTGTACTATATATTTGCCTTTTTTAACTTCATTTAAACGAACTTTACTCCCCTCTTTCCTATTCATCTCAGTTGAGTCACAGGTTCCATACAATTTTTTTTTTGTTTGAATAAGGAAAAATCTTAAATATTGACTGCTGTTTTAATCTCACGTTTATAGTTATCGTCATTGTCAGCGTCAGCGCCTCAAAATCACTACTGTTGCTGCTGCTCTTGGTTTTATGTGATACTTATATCAATTATAAGCTATGATTACCATTAACAGCATATATTAATATACTATATACAATCATTTGTAATTGTAAAATTGTGTGAGCGTAAAAATCTGCGAGTGAAGGTCTATTTGTAGTATGTCCTACGTTTAGATACATTAATTTTTCTGATGTTTGATGGAATTATACAATATAAATAATATTATAAAATACTATTTTCATATAGCACGCTATTCATTGTGTCTCGTTATTTTCTTGGTGTTTCTCTACAAACAAGTATAACTATTTTGCCATATTCTCCCATAAGTGACACGAGATCGCACTGGTGACATTCGTTTCGCAGCTATTATCACTTTCAAAATCTAAAAGATCACAAAGATGCACCAAATTGCATCAATTTACTGTGCCCGCTTTTTATTTCCATAATACCTACTTGCTTTGTTAACTCCGCAAAATGCATGGCATCGGCTATAGAATTGAAACGCGTTTGTAAACATAAATATATACAGTACACACATTCATTCATTACATTGTTTGCCTTAATACATACACGTACACCGATAGACGGGAAAGGGGCGGAAGTTCATACCGAACAATTTTGCGAACCCACTGGGAGATTTGTTTTTTCGTAAGGGATTTTCAAATTTAAGGTGAGCATGTGCCTGGCGAACAGTTTGACTCGAGGAACAAAACAATAGCTACTATATGTATTTACAAACTACTCACGACCCTTTTTAATTTTATTTTTCTGAAGTCGAATTTTCGAGTCTCTATCTCTGGCTACGTTTGTAAAATGTTCAATGTCTATTTGTTCACTCTCAGGATCCTTTTGATGAATCGGAGTGAGAAACACTAGCTATTGATCACCAGCTGTTGTCGTCAGGGCACTCGCATCCCCGCTGCTACTCTCAACAATCAACATCACAGTTTCGGCTGCTCCCCGGACGCATTCTTCTTGGTGTCCTGCCCAGTCCTTTCGCTGACAAAAGGTGGAACAGTATGGAGTTCTTCTGCATAATGAGCATTCCGCAAATGCTTCCCGGTTACAATTGGCGCACTAGTGTAACAAGTACGTTTAAAAAAAAATAGTAAATACTTGTAATAAGCAGTAAGAAAACCTACCTGTCGTTATTTGAAAAGTTGTCAAATACTTTAGACATTTTACCTTTTTGTTATCAGCATCCGAGGTTGGCTGCAAACCGACTGTCTCTATGACATCGCCCCTAGCACCAAGTTGGGCAGCTAACACTTGCTCTCTGCGTTGCTGCCTACTCAACTCTTTTGCTTCTTCCAAGGTTCTTCTAAACTCATATGCCAACTTTAATAATTTATTAGACATTTCGTCTAGTTTTTTAAAAATATCATCATTTTGTCCATTTTCAGTTTGATGTACATTCTGCATAACAGTATCTTGTTGTTGCGGTTGCTGTACAACCAACCCATCCGTTGAAACAAATTGTGGCCACACTTCCTTATCAGGAACAACAACTTCATTATCACTTTCATCATTGTTACTTCCATCTCTGGAATTGTCACTCTTATGCTTACGAGATGGAGTCTCTCCATCAGAAGCCTCTCTCGTTCTTCTTCGCCTTTTATAAGGCGTAAATAATCGAACAGGACCTGTCTGCATCAAAAAACGTTGTGTCGTCTTCAAAATAGAGCCAAAGTTTATAATTTAAAAAATCAAGAGGAAGCCTACTTACTGCACTATCATCATCACAGCATGCAGCACACGTACAAGAGGTTGCATGTGGTTTTAAAATTTGTTCATCGATTAATGTTTGTAAGCTCCTTCCTCCAAACCGTATGCTTCTTTTCCAATCTTTGCTGGAAGCTCTGCCACATAGTGCCTCGAATTCGCTTGGAGTATACCAATCTTGGCCTAATTTAATGCAGCGTCCTCTACCTCCAGAGCCAAATCTACTTTTATGAAGCTCAGCATTGGTATTTTTGCATCTGACTGGCAAAACAGCCATATTTGCGGACTCCGACCAACTGCATATTGGCTGAGAATTGCCGGCAGATACGTGAATTTGATCAGATTCGGCTTCGTCTGTACTGTTTTGAATAACTATGTGCGTGGCTTTGAGTTCTCCATTCCAACGAAGTGGATCCGTATCTTTGTCATGGCGCGGTTCGCAAATAAAGCCGTTATCGACACATAGCATTTGCTTGAACTGTCCTGAACCAGGTAGCTGCAAAAGAAGTTTTCGTTGATATATTTCAAAGTACGAATAGAACGATGATAAGTACTTAAGTAGAATATTCAGAGTCGACAGTTCACCTGCAGCTGATCGGACGTGATGACATTGAAGGTCGTACCATTGCTCGAATTAGCAACACCAATTATTGAACCTACCGGCAGAGAAACCGGTACTCCAACACCGGGAACACCGGTAACTCCCGAAACCGAAGAGACGTTTGCCGTTACGGCGACCGGATGGGCTTCGTGCTCGCCCGTTAGGGCGGACGCCTCCTCGGTTTCGCTCGTCAACGGTTCGGACATGTCCGGTAACACAGCGACACTTTCCGATGTTTGGTTCTCCTCCATTTCGGCTATTCTCGTCTCCTGTTCAATGGCGTCAGCACACTCGGCACCGTTCGGGGAGCACTTAAATTTGGTGACCGTATAATTATTCACGAACTTACTGTTTGCCACAGAAAGAAAAACGTTTTTCCCACCGATACGAGAGTAATTTCGACGCCAGAAGCCATAGAAAACTGGTGTAGTTAGTCTACAGACGAGTAGATGTCAGACGCTAACTCGTACAGCGGCCTGCACCCGGCTCGACCAATCGCAGCCGCTTTAACGGTCGGACATCTTTTTGCGTAGCTAAGCGCGCCGGTCTCGCGCGTCCTTTGCCATAGTACTCTTCCTCGTAGTACTACTCTGTCGTCGTAGTACTCTGCATCCTCGTGCACTTATACTTTCCTTACAATGACCAATTATTCTTTATGAAAATTAGAAAAAGGCATTTAAATTCTGCGACTGTGGCATTATTTCAAGTCTAGAATACTAATCAAGCTTGGTTTTTTCGCAATACAGTTTAAGTTTTAGTATTATTATTTTAATACCACACAGCTTAGAATTACATATTGAACGTTCAATTCAATGTTAATTTGTATGATCTTTTAGGATTTTTGGGTCCCCTTTTATATGCCACACGTATTACGCGGGGTGTATTCCAAAACACGATGCCAGTACTACGATTATTGTCGTATCTTTGTTTACCTGCATGTAATGGAGTGTGATACAGCAATACTTGCAGCGAGATTAGAATACACCCACGGGAGTACAATCCGATCACCCAGGAGATACTAGTAAAGAGGGTCAAGTCTTATGACAATTTGTGTTGGGTAGTGACAGCTAGTGGGTACAGTGGACATGGGAGATATGCTGAAACACGTATAGAAGTGCTAGAGGGGGTGTAAATGTCATAAAATTCGTTTCAGATACAGGATTCAGGGAGGCTGGCCGTCTTTATCAATATCTCCTCAGTGAACCAACACATTTGACTTTTCTTTTGAATGTGTATCTGAATACAGGTCAGCGCAAATTATTTCAACTGACTGGAGAAGTCGCTGAACAGGCAGTATTATTTAACAGTGTTTTCTATTTATGCAATAGTATAAAATAAAAATCCTTATAAATAGTGTCAGTTTGCTGATTGTGTTGAAGGATTTTGAATATTTGAATCTTTGGTGCCTGAAACGAATAACAGATGACGCCACAATTGGTTATAGCGTTCTAAAGGTGAACTGTTGAGGCGGTTTGGAATTCCTCAAAGGATAATCTTAAGATGAAGGGTTTCTCTTGCAACGGAGCAGCATACGAAACATTGGGGGCAGTGGATAAAACTTAAAGTAATTTAGCATGGATCATGTGGAAATGGTGGTATGGTGCAATATATGGAGAAACGTGCAAAGCCAGGGCAAACAGAGCCAGAGTTGATGAACTACGCGATCTTCACACTTTGCAAAGTTTTCTGTGATTTATGTGGGCGCGAGCGAGCACACCAGAGAAACCACAAAGATACTTTTAAACACAAACAGTAACTAATTTTTGGTCCATAGACTTGGCATGCATATTCATTGCCTCGTTATTAGGTTCGTGCAAATTTGCTATTTTATTGAATAATAAGAAGAAAAATTAAAATCCATAAAAAATGAACACGATTCCAAAATGGTGACATTCGGTATTTGTATTATAATTCATATTACAGATGACTGGATTTCACAGACGTGATTGGTAGGTAATATTTTGTATAAATAAACATTCATGAGATTAGATTAAATCTGAGTATTCGTACAAGCAACGTACTGTTTCCTAATGCCTTTGTAATACGAAGAATATCTTTCGCGTGAAGCAACTAATGTATAGTTAGGGTTGGTCTCCTCGTATTTCCTCGAGTGAGGGCAATGTTTATAAATCGTGTGAACCGGCACCACTGTAGTGGCCCATAGCCGCGAACCCACCAGGATAATGAGGTTATTTAGAAGCGCTGGAAAACGCAGGAGAAATAATGAATCGGCTCGTTTATTCTAGATTAAAGATCTTCTATGGTGAACGGTCCCTTCAATTATTCCCCAGGTAGACGAAAATTATACACAGACCTCATAAGTCATGCGACGTCTGCGAATCACGTATCTGCTATAAGTATCTTCTAATACTAAAAGAATACGATGAATGTAAGTTGTCGTCTGCCTTTAAACTCCATCATCATGTGCTTAAAAATGCAATTAAGAGTACCATTCTCGTCGGGGAAATATAAATATAAATTAACTCTCCCTTTGGTGGTAGGAGGGTGCAAAATGCGAAATACTATTGATTGAATGCATTTATAATGGCTCTGTTCTCCATCCTTCATTAACTGATCCGCCAGTTTCTTGGATTTGTTGTTTGCCTAAAAAATTAGTCGGTAACTACTTTTCTATCAGAAAGCTCATTCTACTTGGAAACTATTTCCAATTGGTCAGTTTATAAGCTGTCATCCAGTAATGAATTTAAACGGTTCAAAGCGACTATCCGTGGAACAGAGGAAATAAAGAATACAAAAAAATAGGTAAAAGAACGTGCAACCGCGTAGATTTAATGAAAAACAGAAGAACAGGAAATATTCTGATAGATCCTAACCAGTTTTCAGGATCAGTGCCAAAATCACAATCTTAATATGATTATTGTTACACGCGTGGTCACGTGTGTTTACATGTATCCACAAGGAGAAAGCTAAGCGGGAATCCTTTCTCTTCTAAATTCGCCAATGGTCCAGCCGCAATCGCAGCAATGCAGACTTTCTTATGTTTCCCGTAAACTCCATACACGGCCGGCGATACCACTTTAATGCATAGTTGAGCAAAGCTGGCGCTGGTTATTTCGACCCTTCTGGATTAGTTTCTTAGGATCGTGGTCGTTGTAAAGTAGTGAATTCTTGGCTGTTGCTCAGCTCAAGAACTCATTTATTAAGTAAACGCGATCGTACTTCATTAATAACTTGAATATGAAGAGAGTTAACCTTAGTATATAAGGTTATGGACAAAATCGGAACAGTGGATTAAGCAATGATCCATACCTTATTTCCAGATCGCAATTTCTTATTGCCAATCGTCATGGTCAACTCTAAATAACAGCTCGTTGCTGGTGGTGAGTGGTTATGTGACCTGTAGCTTGGCGATTCCTTAGTAGCAATTTGTTGCTATATTCTATAAGTGAGTTGCAAGAGGAGAGGGAAGGTGATTATTAGAGTCGGATGAGATACTGGGAATGTAGAGAGAGCATAGAGAAGCGAAACTCGGTGTTATAGGAGAGCTGGGTAGGGAAGCATTGTCTTGGGATCGTGAACACTATTTGCTAGTAAAGTAGATTACGATGCCATTGATAGAGAGTGGAAACGAGAGAGCGAGACTGGAGGAAGAAGGCCGTGTTCTCCTCTTGAAGGGTGATATAGATCCCTCGGATGGGATATAGCAATGAAGTTTCCCTGGCGAGGTATAACCATATTAGCTGATGCCCTTTGTTGTATCAGTGCGCGATTGCCTTAAGTTCTGATCTTGGAGGATATTGATTTTCGGTTCGCCGTTGGCCCTCAGAACTCATATCGCTTGCCAATTTCACGCTTTCCATGACCAGTCGCCTCGAAGAACAACTTGCCAAGAAAATCGGTTTACTCATGCTATTGAGAGACATTCGGGACCGATGCTCCTAGGGGTTGTACAATTAAAGAATATGACTCCCATAAGAAATTTAATAAGCCTGCATTCCTGACTGCAGTCTTGAGGGGGTACGAAAAGGTAGGGGGAGAGGGGTGACAAACTGACAATGAGCTCTAGCAGGCCGTTTACGTGAGACATGGTGCGTTATTAGTGGCAATTTTTCACTCATTCTTCGCGGTACTAAGTTCACCGGAAATTTCTGGGCGAAATCAGCCTGTCTGTGATAGATTCACAGCCTCATTACGTGGCCTTCTTGCCCCGAGCGCCTGGCCTAGGCAACCTCCCGCACCTCAAACCCTGGAGTTTGAGAACTAGCCAGAGTTTACGATTCGTGCATCACGCTCGCTCTTCCTGCTACGAATGAGTGAATTTCAATGCCAGCGTTTCATTAAAACGCAAGCTGGTGATTTTTTTGGTACGCTTCTGTTTATTTAACCGCTCCGTATTGGTATTGCATCTCACTGATACCACTGATGGCAATTATGAATCGCCACCCAACAGTACGATAACTTTTCCGTTTCCAATCTTCATACTTTTTCATCGGCGCCATTTCTATTCTCGTTGAGGGAGCTCATCGCGGGATGTCTGTAATTGTCAATTCCCATTTCGCCTGGTAGGATTACCTATCAAGCGTAGCCTTCCCAATCATCCCAATTGCTCACTTCGTTGGTCGCTCATTTCACCCGTCTGTTCGATTCTTCGACCGTTCATTCATTCTTATAAGGATCCTACATTTTGTTCATTGAATTAATCAATTGGCAATATTATGTCCGTACCTTTTATCTCCACAAAGTTGCCGAAACTAGATATCAAGTTATCCTTTGTATCTGATGTTTTGGTTAGTTTGTTGGTTGGTCCCTATTTTTCCTTTCATGTTCCAGGAAACGTTTCTCTTTCCCACGATGTACCCTCTCACTTCCCAAGAGGATATTAGGCCACCGCAAACCCGTCTAAATTACTCGCACTTGCGAATTCTAAACTAAATGCATAAAATAGCTACAAGACGTAGGTACAGAGCTCCAATTCCAGCATTTACACCCTAATTCATTGGTTCCTCCGGATAGTTGAATGGTATGCTAATTACTGGCTATTTGGTACAATAAAGAGATTCGAAGAGCTAGAACCCATGGTCTTCTCACTTTTTATCGTGTAGCAAGATGTCACGCGAAGCCACGTAAGGAATTGATCTTCGGTAAAATGAACGAACGATTGACTGAGAGAACAGGTTGCTGTAGATTCAACAAAACTAACACTTGTTGTTGGTTCGTTCTTCTAATTCCTGGTATGTCTTACGCAAACGAGAGAGATGGAAGCAAATGAGACTCGTAGCGGCCTAATATGTCCATAATTGGACGTTCTCGCGTCACATTGAAGCGTAAATGAAGGCGATGAGAGGGAGAGAATCGTGTTCCATGCATACGTTAACCATACCGCAGTTTCAGCCCTCCAAAGCGTAACCACCCCGCCGCCTTATCCGACATTTAAGGCAGGGCTAGAGTCTCGGCTCGAGGATCCAGACAGCAAGATATTAAAGCACAATGCTGGATTTAATTAGGTGTCATTGC